CATGCTGATTTGGTTGGACCACTAGCGCCCTCTTTGGGTAGAAATAGATACTTCATGGTTCTCATTGATGCATTTTCTAGATATATTTTTGTGTACAATCTCAAGCAGAAATCGGAGGCTTTTCCTAGGTTCAAGGAATTCTGTGCTTGGTTGGAAAATGTGCATGGTAAGAAGATAAAGACTCTTTTCAGTGATCGCGGGGGGGAATTCACTTCTCAGCAGTTTGAAGCTTTTCTGACTGAGAAAGGAATTCAACACGATTTGTCTAGTCCTCGCTCGCCATGGCAGAATGGACTTGCGGAACGGGCAAATCAAACATTGCTTCAAGGATTAAAAACCTTGCTGCATGATGCCAATCTTCCAGAGAGTTATTGGACCGAATCTCTCTCGTGTTTTGTTTACAGTTACAATCGCAGGTTATCTTCAGCGATTGATTGTACCCCCTATGAAAAGATGTTTGGCAAGAAGCCATACATCAAACACATGAAGATTTTTGGTTCTGACATGTGGGTTCGCTCACCACAAAACTCCAAGTTAGACAAGCGTGGATTGCATGGTATCTTTCTAGGTTATCAGAAAGGGTCTTACAGAATAATGATGACTGACTCTAAGACAATTAAGCTCACGAGAAGTGTTGAGTACAATGCAAAGTGGGGGAGAATGTGGGAATTTTCCAATGTTATCCTGATGACGGTGATGAGACTGAGGATAGTCAAAAGCAACCACAACAGCCCACACCCACTGATGAAGGTTCTGAGTCTGAATCTGAAACTGAATCGGGTGATTCAGAGGATTTCAAGAGTGCGAAAGCCTCTATGCGACCCTCTGAAAGCTCTGATCAAGAATTGGAGGAACCATTGTTCACAATAGGTCGTTTTTCTCCTAAGAAGGAAGAGGAGAGTGTTGAAGACTTAAGGCTAATTCATAGGTCACAGAGAGCCACAAAAGGCAAACCTCCAAAGAGATTTGCTGATGAGTTTGCTACGATAGCAGTAACAGCTGTTAAAAGCTCCAAGAAGGTATTTGAACCTTCAAGTTTCCAAGAAATCCAGGGTTTGGATTCAAAGGAAGCTGAGCCATGGTTAAATGCCATGAAGGCTGAGCTTGATTCCTTAGAAAGGAACAAAACATGGGAGCTAGTTCCAGTAGTTCCAGGAATGAAACTGCTTGGAAGCAAATGGGTCTTCAAAGCGAAGACAGATCAAAATGGCAAGATAGTTAGACACAAAGCCAGATTGGTAGCCAGAGGTTTTGCACAGGTACCAGGTGAAGACTATCACGAGACCTATTCACCCACAGTGAGATATGAAAGCATTAGGCTTATGCTCAAGCTAGCTGCAGAGGAAAATCTACACATTAGTCACCATGATATTAATACAGCTTTTCTGTACGGATCTCTAGATGAATCACTTTATATGCTTCCACCTGATGGCGTACAGGTAAAACAGGGATTTGTTTGTGCTCTGAAGAAATCCCTTTATGGTCTCAAACAAAGTGCACGGTGTTGGCACACAAAACTCACTGAAGTATTGTTTTCTCTAGGTTTTCAGCAAGGGAAAGCTGATCCATGTGTATTTGTCAAAGAGGAGGGGCAAAAGAAACTGTACTGTTTGTTTTATGTTGATGATTTATTATTCTTTTGGAAAGATGTTGCAATGTACAATAGCGCCCTAGCTCAACTGAAAGAGCACTTTGACATGAAAGATCTTGGTGAGGTAAACAACTACCTATCTCTAGAAATAGAGAGAGATCAAGATGGTAACATTCTAGTACACCAGTCACGGAAAATTGCTGATGTGTTAAGCAAACTAAATCTGATGGATGCTAACCCTGTAGACACACCCATGACAACAGGTTATCAGGTAGATGACACTGAAGAAGCATTTTCTGACACTACACTGTACAGGAGTGTGCTAGGCAAGCTAAACTTCATTGCCAGATGTTCAAGACCAGACATTGCTGTTAGCTGTAAGTTGCTAAGCAGACAAGTCAACAATCCTAGTGTCAAGGATTGGAAAGCTCTGAAACGCATAGCGCGGTATTTGAAAGGCACTATGCATTACAGACTGAGATTTAACAATCAGAAGTCTGGTGATCTTGAGATATTTGCAGATGCAAGTTTTGGAAGTGACACTACAGACAGGATAAGTACGTCTGGAGTTTGCTACATGTACAATCAGAGTCTGTTTGATTGGTCATGCAAAAGGCAAACAACAGTTAGCTTAAGTACTTGTGAAGCTGAACTGAATGCACTGTCTTATTCACTTAAGGATTGTGAATGGTTAGTACAATTGTGCAAAGATATGAAAATTCCTGTCAAATGTCCAATCCAGGTTTACCAGGACAACAAAGCATGTTTGGCTTTGCTGAAGTCTGAAGGTTGTAAGCAAAGCACAAAGCACTTGCAATTAAAGTTGCAGCATGCTAGGGAATGTATTCAGAAGGGACTCGTAACGGTGTCCTATATGCCAGGTAATGAAATTCCTGCTGATGTATTGTCCAAGATTGTATCAAGGGATCAACACTGTACCTATGTGCAGAAGTTGGGTTTGTACTGATATTGTGCAAACACGCTGCCCAGTGATGTTCACAGACAGGGGAGGATGTTGGTTTCTATTTCCCTCACTGAGCAGCAACTGCAGTCACAAGACATTGTTTTACATTCCACAGTCTGTACTGTTGGAGTTTCTCACGGGAAAGGGAGACTGGATGTGACGTACACTGGTTTCCTGTTTTTCACTGTGTTATTCTCTCCAAGCTGTCGAGGAGAGAGGATGCATTTTCTGCTCTTGCAGAGGCAAGATGTCTTTCTGTAATATACCAGCTTTGAACTGTAAATAAAGCAATATAGAGTATGTAACACATTTTCCTCATCCTTCCGCTGGGCACGAAAGGACTCTGCTTTAAATCAACAGGCGGTTCGAATCCCCGCGACGGGGTGAGCTCCCGTTGCTCGGTCCCTGCTCCTGCCAACCTAGCAGCTCGAAAGCACGTCAAAGTGCAAGTAGATAAATAGGTACTGCTCTGGCGGGAAGGTAAACAGCGTTTCCGTGCGCTGCTACTCTGGTTCGCCAGAAGCGGTTTAGTCCTGCTGGCCACATGACCTGGAAGCTGTACGCCGGCTCCCTTGGCCAATAAAGCAAGATGAGCGCCGCAACCCCAGAGTCAGTCACAACTGGACCTAATGGTCAGTGGTCCCTTTACCTTTACCTTTAATGCCCAACCTGTCAGGGGACATACCCTAAAAGCCAGTACAGTGGTACCTTGGTCCTCAAACACTTTGGTACTCAAACAACTTTGAACCCAAACACTGCAAACCTGCAAATAAGTGTTCCGGTTTGCGATTTCCCCCCCGGAAGCTGAACATGCTCCATTTTGAGTGTTACACTTCCAATTTGAGTGCCACACTTCTGATTTGAGTGCCACACTTCCATTTTGAGTGTTACACTGAGGTCTGTCTGTTTTTGCTATTTATTTTGCTTTTTTGTTTTGTGGCTGTGACTGTGTGGAACCCAGTTCAGCTACTGATTGATTGATTGATTGTGTGACTGCAGTACAGTGGATGCTCGGGTCGCGAATGTGATCCGTGCGGGAAGCACGTTCGCAACCCGCAGCGCCGCGTCTGCGCACGCGCAGGTCGCGATTTGGCGCTCCTGCACATGCGCAAAGCGTGATTTAGCGCTTCTGTGCAAGCGCAAGCGCCGAAACCGGAAGTACCGGTAACCCGTTCTGATAACCTTCTGGTAACCTTCTAATCAGAAAGCCCTAGGTTCTGTGGTTTAACCCACAGCTCCACCTGCATCCTAACAGGTTGGGCATTAAGTAACATTAAATAACAGTAGTGACACGTGCAAGTCTAGGCAGTGTGCATGGAGGTTCATGGGCTGCCCAGATGACAAGACCCACCCACTTCACCAGCGTCATGGATGCGGTTCAAAGGAAAGCAGAGCAACATGTTTGGCACCAGCTTGGCAGCAAAAGTTGCAGAAAGGAGGTGTACAAGGCTCCATCCAGCCCCGAGGCCCTTCTGGTGGTTCCCTCACTGCGAGAAGTGAGGTTACAGGGAACCAGGCTGAAGACCTTCTCCGTAGTGGCAACCACCCTGAGGAATGCCCTCCCATCAGATGTCAAGGAGATAAGTTAACAATACAACCTTTAGATGACATCTGAAGGCAGCCGTGTAAAGGGAAGTTTTAATGTTTTAGCATGTTTTTATATATATGCTGGAAGCTGCCTAGAGTGGCTGGGGCCAAGTCAGATGGGCGGGATACAAATAATAAAATAATAATAATTAAAAGCCTCCCTAGAATCAAGGCCCGTATAGTTAAAGATGTGGTTTTCCCAGTAGTGATGTAGGGAAGTGAGAGCTGGACCATAAAGAAGGCTGATTGCTGAAGAATGGATGCTTTTGAATTCTGGTGCTGGAGGAGACTCTTGAGAGTCCCATGGACTGCAAGAAGATCAAACCTCTCCATTCTGAAGGAAATCAGCCCTGAGTGCTCATTGGAAGGGCAGATCCTGAAGCTGAGGCTCCAAGACTTTGGCCACCTCAGGAAAAGAGAAGACTCCCTGGAAAAGACCCTGATGTTGGGAAAGATGGAGGGCACAGGGAGAAGGGGACGCCAGAGGACAAGATGGTGGGACAGCGTTCTCGAAGCTACCAGAGTGAGTTTGACCAAACTGCGGGAGGCAGGGGAAGACAGGAGTGCCTGGTGTACTCTGGTCCAGGAGGTCACGAAGAGTCGGACACGACTAAACGACTAAACAACAACAATAGAATCAAGTTCTCAGGGCCACTAACAGCAAAAACAAAGGCCAAATTTTAATGCATACAATAAAACTCTCAATGTCAAAGCAACATCAAAGCAGTTTGCAGTTCTGAAGCCTGACGAGGCAGGACCCGCCTTTGGCCAAGCCAGACAGAGTGTCTTCCCCTAATACTAGATTTTCTCGTTCAAGAGGCATCAAAGACAGTTTTGCATCCTGCTCCCTGGACAGTTTGCAGTTCTTGCCCCTTTTGCACCCTCTGCCTGCCAACAACGCTTCCTTGCTCGCGGTCGGGGTGGGGAGACGTTTCGCGCGCCTCCCTGGTGTCTGGCTCCTTGCCCCACACACCTTGACCTAATTTCTCTGCCAACTTGGAAGCCTCCTTGGCACAGGTATGAAATCTGGCTTGCTCAACCGGCTCGGAGCAGCTGCCTTTCCCCAGCTTGAGCTGGGCGGAGCCTGCAGCCCCGTCCGACTCGCCTCCGGGACATAAAAGGAAAGACGGAGGCTCGCGACCTCTTTTGCTCTGCAACGGGGGGTTGCCAGCTACTTTTGCAAAAAAAGAGAGGGAGTCATCTGCAAGCAGTGGCCATGGCTTCCTTGTTCGCGGGCGAGCTGGCCCGCAGCCCCCGCCGCCGAAGGAGCACCAGGACTTGCTGCCAGAGGTGCCTGCCTGCTTTGCCCAGCAACGAGCCAAGGTAAGGGACGGGAGGAGATTCGGGGTGGGAGAGGTATCCCCTGCCCCGAGGATGCTGCAATGATGCACGCGCGCCCCCTGGACCAGCAGCCCACGTGGCCCGACCTGGTAAGCCGCCGAGGCCGGAGCGGTGGCTTCACCATTCGGTCCTCTGCGCCTGGCAAACTTGGCTCCGGAGTCGTTCCTGATCGCCTGCCAATAACGGCCGGTTTACACGAGTAGCGCGCGCGCGCCTTTTCCTTCGTCCCTTCCCAGCGCCTCTCGGATTGGAAAGCAAAGCCGCGGCTGGTTGCGTCCCCCGCTCTTTTATTCCCATTTTAACTAAAGAGGTCGCTTCAGCTCTCTAGTTAGGAAACATCCCCCCCATTTTTTTTTTTATTCCGTTTTTAAAAAGAGCAGCTCGCTTCTGCTTTCTAGTTGGGAAACATCTGGTTTCCCCCTCCCTTTTTATTCTCGGGTTGTTGTGTTTTTAAAATTAGAATAAAAGCTCGCTTCTGCTTTCTGTCGCGCGCAGAACATGCAGCCCCAGCCCAAGTTAGCGTTTACTCCGAAGCAAATCGCGCGCAGCCCAACAATATTTGTTCCAAATTTATTTGTTGCGTTATACTCCACCTCCCTTCCCTGGAGCTCAAAGTGGTCCATGTACATAGTACATTTTATCCTCGCATCCCTGTCTACAGGGTGACTGGCCAAAGGTCACCCAGTAAGCTCCATGGCCGGGTGTAAGGTGGAATTTGAACCCCGGTCTCTCCCAGTTCCTAGTCCCCAACAGATTCCATGTTTACAAAACTGTAGCTCCAGTTAAGTTTCTCAAATCGAAACGCCCTTGAATCGAATTTTGACCATCCGGAACGTTCGAAGAGATTTGCTCCGGAGCGAGTGTGTGTAGACACGCGGGCGCAAGCCCCTCCTCCCGCGGAAGCGTGTTTGGGATGGGGTTCGCCGTAAACCCAAAGCCGCTCCCTACGAAGTCCAGTTTTGCCAGAGCGCTCAGCATTCAGGGGTGGGGGGCTTTGAAGAGACCTTAGGAAACAGGGGGAGGTTACTCCCGAGTAAACGCTCTCCTGGGGTTGCTGCTCAGCCGCTTGCAACAGCAGGGCCTGTTCCTGAGTCAAGGCGGTGCAGAAGGGAGCGCGCAAAATCCCCTTCTCCGCCTCCGGGGCTTTCCTATTCGCTGCGTCAATTCCTGCTCAAGAGGAAACCCATTTCCAGCTCGAGAGGCTTGGAAAGATGCCCTGGATGGGCGGCAACCCGCTCCTTTTCCCACTGGCCCCGTGCGCTGTCAGTCAGAATCAGTTTCCGTATTCAAATAACAAAATAAACTAGGGTGGGGCTTGGAAAGTTTATTAGCAGCCTGCAGCTGTGAGTCATAAGCTGGGGGAGCAGCAACAGCTGGTTGTCTCTTGGATCTTTGCAACTGAGTTGTTCCTTTTGTCTCTTGCAGCAAACCCATGGCCAAGCAAGCCTCTTTTGCCCGGTCCTTGCCCCCTGCAACTACTATCAAGGAGGAGCTTCTGTGCCCCATCTGCTACGAGCCCTTCAAAGACGCCGTCACCCTCCGCTGCGGGCACAACTTTTGCAAAGGCTGCGTGAGCCGGTCCTGGGAGGACCAGGCCCACCATGTCTGCCCGGTGTGCAAGGCAGCCTGCTCCCCAGAGGAGCTCCGCACCAACCACACCCTGGCCAACATTGTGGAGATGTTCCTCTTGCAGGAGAAGAAACAGCAGCAGCAGCAGGGTGAGGCTGGGGAGTCCTCTGCCCGCTGTCCTGTGCACGGAGAGGAAGCCAAGCTCTTCTGCCTGGAGGACAAGGAGCTGGTCTGCTTTGTGTGCCAAAGCTCCAAGCAGCATGCGGACCACAGGATGAAGCCCGTGGCAGAGATGGCCAAGAACTACAGGGTAAGCTCCCCTGGGGGGTCTGGATGGTGCGAGAAGGTCCTCTAAGAGTTGGCGGGCTCTCCTTCATTGGAGGTTTCTAAGCAGACCTTAAAGGGACGTGGGTGGCGCTGTGGGTTAAACCCCAGAACCTAGGGCCTGCCGATCAGAAGGTCAGCAGTTTGAATCCCCACGACGGGGTGAGCTCCCATTGCTCGGTCCCTACTCCTGCCAACCTAGCAGCTTGAAAGCGCGTCAAAGTGCAAGTAGATAAATAGGTACTGCTCTGGCGGGAAGGTAAACGGTGTTTCCGTGCGCTGCTCTGGTTCGCCAGAAGCGGCTTAGTCATGCTGGCCACATGACCCGGAAGCTGTACACCGGCTTCCTCGGCCAGTAAAGCGAGATGAGCGCTGCAATCCCAGAGTCGTCCGCGACTGGACCTAATGGTCAGGGGGTCCCTTTACCTTCAAAATGTACCTAAAATGCACCTAAAATGGACGTGGGTGGCGTTGTGGGTGGCACTGTGAGTTAAACCACAGAGCCTAGGACTTGCCGATCAGAAGGTCGGTAGTTCGAATCCCCGCGACGGGGTGAGCTCCCATTGCTCTGTCCCTGCTCCTGCCAACCTAGCAGTTCGAAAGCACATCAAAGTGCAAGTAGATAAATAGGTACCACTCCCGCGGGAAGGTAAACGGTGTTTCCATGCGCTGCTCTGGTTTGCCAGAAGCGGCTCAGTCATGCTGGCCACATGACCCAGAAGCTGTACGCCGGCTCCCTTGGCCGGTAAAGCGAGATGAGCGCCGCAACCCCAGAGTTGTCTGCGACTGGACCTAACGGTCAGGGGTCCCTTTACCTTTACCTTTACCTTTAAGCAGACCTTTGAATGGCCACCTATCAGGGTTTTTTTAGTTGTGAGTGCAGGGGGCTGGACTAGATAATGCTTGGGATCCCTTCCAATTCTACAATTCCTGGACGCTGTAAGAGGGAGGAACTGTGTGTAATTTGAGATCAGCTCAGACTGGATGTGGGGAACCTTTGGCTTGCTACAATTCCAGTTATCACTGGCTGTGCTTGCTGAAGTTGGTGGGAGCTGTAGTTCAGTAACGCTTGGAGGCCCAAAGATAGATGGACCAGGAGCATATCATGTTCTACCTTGGCTGCACACAAAGGCTGCTTTATATCTCTGGAACCTCCTTCTGATGGATGTTTAGCAATGCCAGCCTCTGTACCACCACTTGCCCATCTTTTAGGCCAGACAGCATGTTGCGTCTGAAGGCAGCCCTGTTTAGGGAAGCTTTTAATGTTTAACAGGTTATTGTATTTTTTTAATCTGTTGGAAGCTGCCCAGAGTGGCTGGAGAAACCCAGCCAGATGGGCGGGGTATAAATAATAAAGTATTATTATTATTATTGCGTTTGCCATAGTGGTGGCACCCACTTGCAAGTTCCTCTCCCAGCCACCATAATATTCTCAAACACCACTAGCTGCATAAATTGGGGCTGCCCCATATCAAAGCCTTCTCCTTGCCAATGATTGGGGGTGTAGGAATTTGTTGCACGAGGACCCTGCTTCGTGTGACATGAGTGATGTTTGTTCCTCCCCCCGGAGGTTGTGGACTATCCTTCCTTGGAGGTTTTAAGCAGAGGCTGGATGGCCACCTGCCATGTATTATCTAGTTGGGATTCCTGCATTGCAGGGGGTTGGACTAGATGACCCTTGGGGTCCCAACTCTGATACCCCCATAGCAAATGGGATGGGGAGGGCTGTAGCTCAGTGACAGAGCAACTGCTTTTCATGCAGAAAGTCACAGGTTCGGTGATTTGATACCAGTTAATAATAATAATAATAATAATAAATTTATTATTTATACCCCACCCATCTGGCTGGGTTTCCCCAGCCACTCTGGGCGGCTTCCAACAGAACACTAAAATACAATAACCTATTAAGCATTAAAAGCTTCCCTAAACAGGGCTGCCTCCAGATGTCTTCTAAAAGTCTGCTAGTTGTTCTTCTCTTTGACATCTGGTGGGAGGGCATTCCACAGGGCGGGCGCCACCACCGAGAAGGCCCTCTGCCTGGTTCCCTGTAACTTGGCTTCTCGCAGCAAGGGAACTGCCAGAAGGCCCTCGGAGCTGGACCTCAGTGTCCGGGCAGAACGATGGGGGTGGAGACTCTCCTTCAGGTATACTGGACCAAGGCTGTTTAGGGCTTTAAAGGTCAGCACCAACACTTTGAATTGTGTTCGGAAATGTACTGGGAGCCAATGTAGGTCTTTCAAGACCGGTGTTATGTGGTCTCGGCGGCCGCTCCCAGTCACCAGTCTAGCTGCCGCATTCTGGATTAGTTGTAGTTTCCGGGTCACCTTCAAAGGTAGCTCCATGTAGAGCACATTGCAGTAGTCCAAGCGAGAGATAACTAGAGCATGCACCACTCTGGCAAGACAGTCTGCAGGCAGGTAGGGTCTCAGCCTGCATACCAGATGGTGCTGATAAACAGTTAAGATCCCAGGCATTTCCAGTTAAGGCTAGGGAAGGGAGACTTTTGTCGGAGAGCCTTTGCTAGTCAGTACAGACAAGGCTGGGCTAGATTTAGAGTCCTGCCTGGAAATGAGAGATGCTGGAGACCTTCTAAATGTAGAGCAGTTGTTCTGCAGCTGAAGTACAGTTCTTCTCTGGACCAGTGGATTGGACTGATGGAGCTTAAGGATTTGGGGGCTGCTGAGGTGCCAGAAAACATTTCCTAATCCTTTTCCTTCTTTTCCCTGCTGTTGAAATAAAATACAACTCATCTTGACTATTGCAACATACAGGGGTTAATTCAATGGTGTAAAGAAAACAATCTTATGCTTAACACCAAAAAAACCAAAGAACTCATAATTGACTTTAGGAGAAAGAAAAGCGTATTTTTACCATTGCACATAAATGGCGAGGAGGTGGAGAGGGTTGGTAGTTTTAAATACCTGGGCACTTACATCTCTGAGGACCTCTCATGGACTGTAAATATTAATATGGTTGTGAGGAAGGTGCAGGGGAGGTTGTATTTCCTGAGAATGCTCAGGGGACTGAATCTATCTCAGCACCTACTTCTGTCCTATTATCACAGTACCATCGAGAGTGTCTTAACATATAGTATATTATCGTGGTATGGGAGCAGCTCTGAAACGGATAAAAAGCTTTACAGAGAATAATTAAAATTGCCCAGAATGTTATTGGGCTCCAACTACCAACCCTGGATGAGATCTTCACGTCTCGCACTTTGAAGAAGTCACACAATATCCTGAGAGATCCCACCCATCCTGCTCACAACTTCTTTGAACTGTTGCCTTCGGGCAGAAGATATAGGACAATGAAAACACGAACCACACGCCTTCTGAATAGTTTCTATCCAAGAGCTCTGATTGCACTAAATAATGATCTCAGGGCCAGTTGCAAGGAATAGCAAGCAGGGAGTAGGAAGGAATGAGACAGGTTTTTAGGTTATGTTATGCTTCTAATAGGTTATGTTATATTCTGGAGTATGATATGTTTTTATAGATTATGTCTGAATAGGATGAGAGTGTTGGAGATACGTGCAAATGTGTATGTGAACCCGGTCTTCGAGTGGGTGTTTGATTTTCGTTGTTGTGTATACTGTGTATATACGGACAATGACAATAAATTTATCTAACATAGGCATATATTCATGCATTAAAAACCCAAACAAACTTTCAAATGGTCCCTTACGAAAGCAGAGGACCACAATCACTAAAATGACATGCGCTTAAAAAAAAAAAACTTGCAGAAGCGTTTCTATTTTAATGTTATAACCCATTTTCCACCACAACATTCTCCAGGATGGTTGCAGAAACACAGAGCTTTGGTTAGATGGAAAACAGCAGCGACTTGGATCCTGCAACTGTTTCCATCTGAATGTATCTCGCCATCTGTAATACTTCCTCCAATTCAAAAGTTGGGGAAATGTTCCCAAAATAAAAATGCCCACTTGATGATGGAATGAGATAATGAAGTGGCCAGGCAGTTTCCTAGGGAGAGGGTTTCTAACTACAGAATCAGAGCCCTCCTGAATCATCAGGAGATCCACTGAAGTCCCCATTTAGGGTGCTGACTCTTCAGCAGATGACGACCGCATATTTTAAAGCTTTTCCCCTAGAGAGCCTATGGCTCTCCAAGCCCCAGTTGTGGGGAGATGTACTCCAGCCCGAGAGCAACTGTGTGGACCCACAGAACTTATCTCTGAAAAACTCCATGTGGATGTTGTAGGGCTTGCAAGCTGACTTGCAAAATAAAAATTCGAAATCTCTACAAACCAGATGGAAATCCAGTGTAACGTGCCAAAATTGCTAAACCTCCATGGGTGGGGCGAACCAGATTTTGTGCCAAGTTTCCTGTTGCTGTGTGAAATGCCAACAACATTGCTTGTTTCAGTTTGGCAAATTTTGTTGGTTCCTGACTATTTCCCATGTGGGTATTCAAAACGTTTTGCAGTATACTGAAAACGAGCCTTGGAACCACCAGTGGTGGGTTGCCCTGATTTTGGGGTGTATCTCAAGATAGTGATGCAGTCAAGCTTTGCTTTGAAACTGAGGCTCCGAATGGATTTTGAGTCCCATGGGGAGAGGCCCTTTGAGATGGTTGTATCGGCTTGCTGTATTGAAAGATGGCTGTTGTGGCTTGGAAGAAAGGATAGTGAGCTTGAGATGGGTTTTGAAGTGGTGGGAAGGGATGCTGGAGGTTAAAGGAAGCGGTGTACAGTTTGAGTCACACTTTCCCGGCAAAGTTTCCATCTGTCTCTGACACAGTATGAGTTTGCTGTGAGTCACCCAGCCTCATGTCTAATTCCAGTCTCCATGGGTTTGGAGGGAGAACTGCATGGTATATAATTCAGTGTGTAAGAATGACAAATTGGGCTTGTGTTTTGGGGAGCAACCCCCCCCCCCCCAGGTTCTGAAGATAATAGTGTAAACCAGAAATCACCAGGGCCATGTGATGTGTTTTGCCCCCAAAGCACTTCTGTCTGTCCCCTGACAGCCCTCTAAGGCACAGTGAAAGGTTTACCCACAGTTTCACTCATGTAGAATATAAGTGTTGTTCTTATACTGTAATAAATAATAAAATAATAAATTTTATTTATATCCCGCCCTCCCCAGCCGAAGCTGGGCTCAGGATGGCTAACAACCATAAAATAATGCAACATTCTAAAAAAAGTTCATTATAAAAATTAATTAAAATCAAATTGATGGCAACCATTAAGCAAAAATTCTGTGCAGATTGCCAAAGGAGGGAGTCAGGCTGCACCCTGACCAAAGGCCTGGTGGAACAGCTCTGTCTTGCAGGCCCTGCGGAAAGATGTCAAGTCCTGCAGGGCCCTAGTCTCTTGTGACAGAGTGTTCCACCAGATCGGAGCCGCAGCCGAGAAAGCCCTGGCTCTAGTTGAGGCCAGCCTAACCTCTCTGAGGCCTGGGACCTTCAGGATGTTTTTATTTGAAGATCGTAAGTTCCTCTGTGGGACATACCAGGAGAGGTGGTCCTGTAGGTACGAGGGTCCTAGGCCGTATAGGGCTTTAAAGGTTAAAACCAGCACCTTAACAGTTAAAACCTGTTCTTGAGCTATTAATAATTTGATTCTACGTGTCCTAGAAATATTGCATGTTTCTTGAGATTTTGCATGTAGTGGAAAGCTTGGTGTGCATGCTTCATCTGACCCCTTGTACTCAAAACAGCAACACCTTTCCTGTAAGGGATGCGGGTGGAGCTGTGGGTTAAACCACAGAGCCTAGGACTTGCCGATCAGAAGGTCTGTGGTTCGAATCCCTGTGACGGGGTGAGCTCCCATTGCTCGGTCCCTGCTCCTGCCAACCTAGCAGTTCGAAAGCATGTCAAAGTGCAAGTAGATAAATAGGTACCACTCCGGCGGGAAGGTAAACGGCATTTCCGTGCGCTGCTCTGGTTCGCCAGATGCAACTTAGTCATGCTGGCCACATGACCCGGAAGCTGTATGCCGGCTCCCTCGGCCAGTAAAGCGAGATGAGTGCCACAACCCCAGAGTTGGCCATGACTGGACCTAATGGTCAGGGGTCCCTTTACCTTTACCTTTACCTTTAAGGCTAATGTGATGTTGATGCCTGACCACTCATAGTGGTGGGAGTTTGTATTGCTAGCCACACTTGTGGGTCCCATTCTGTCTCTATCCATTCATGTCATCTAGTAGTCCAACCCACTGCGATGCAGGAATCTCAGCTAAAGCATCCATGACAGATGGCCATCTGACTTCTGCTTAAAAACCTCCAAGGGAGATGAGTCTACCACTTCTGAGGGAGCCTGAAGATGAGCTGTTTTAGTTGTTCTATGTTTTTTGAAGATTCGTGAGTGTTCTGCGACAGAAGTGAAGCCAACTACTGCTAGGGACTGCTGCTCAGGCATTTCAGGAGAGTTAATTCTTTATTGTAATAGATGAAGTTTCCCTTTTCCTAGAAATAGGAAACATGCAGTAAAAGATGCTAAGCTCTTTCTTCTCTGCCTTAATTCCAGGCTAAGTGCAAAGACATGGAAAGCTCCCTGCAGGACAAGGTGCAAGAATTTGGAAGAATAAAGTCTGATTACAGGCTCATTGCAAACCACAACAAGGTGAGCATCTGACTCTGAGCTCCCAATTGTGCAGCGCACTGTTCTAGGGCACACCTCCAGGAGACCTTCCCTTCCACCATGCTTGTGTGTGGCTATGGATTGGGAGGGACGAGTGTCCTGTTATGTGTTCAAGCCTTCCCTGCTCTGTACTGTGAATATATTTTATATTTTTATGTTCTGAACCACCCTGTGATCGATGACTGGCAGTGGTGTGGGTTGTGAAACACAAGAGCAGTCAAGTACAACATTCCTAGAGTGAACATGTTTACACATGGGGAGGAATGTTTGTCCAGCCAGCAGGTAAACTTCCTGTTTCCTTCTGGGCTGGGACAGACTTCCTCTGCATGGGACTAAAAGTGGGCGTGGCCTCACCTGTGCAGGTAACGACAAAAGCACAGGGCAGGACAGCCTTCTGTTTTAGACTACATGCGTTGAAGAAGCAACATCTGCTTAGCCAAAGGTGCCCTTCCTTCCAGCCAAGAGAGGACAAAGGGACTGTCCCCTTATGAGATAGTTTCCAGGTGTATGTTACTTTTCTAAGCCAAGTCTGCCTTCTGGGATCCGATTGTGAACAGAATGTGAGTGAGTAAACTCTTTTTATACTTTCATAGAAGACTGTGTCGTGTCTTATCTTTTATGAGGGAATAAGGGGAAATGACCAGAACAGTTATTAAAGAGGCTTTAGTGAGCCTGAGCAAACGCATCCGCTGTGAGTTTAAAAAGGGGAATGTCGCTTTGCTAAATTGCGAACTTGTTTATACAAGTTGGAAAGGCTATAATCAAACAATATATCCTCTCCTGCATCCCTGAACATTCCCACAAGTGGCTCCCCAGGGTTTCAGGCAGCTGGCATTCCCAATTTTGCCTGGAAATGCTGGAAATATAACATGGGACTTTTTGCATACCAAGCCTGTGCTCTACCACTGAGCTATGGCCTTCCCCAACTCTGGCTGAAGCTATTTCTGCCACTGCCGCAGTAGCTCAGGAGAAGCTCTGATGTGTAAGGTCTCTTTTGCACATTGCGTTGTGTTGCTTCAGTGGTATATATTTGTTTGCAAACTCTTAGAACTATTGAATAATTATAATAATAATGAAATTTTATTTATATCCCACCCTCCCCAGCTGAAGCCGGGCTCAGAGCGGCTAACAACAATAAAAATAACACAATTTACATAAAATCACAATCAATTAATTGAAATGCATTCTAAAATCAATTCATTCTAAAATCAATTCAGAGTCCAATTATTGGCAACCATTGGGCTAGAGTTCTATGAGGGTTACAGAAGGAGATGGTCAGACTGTGCCTTGGCCAAAGGCCTGGCGGGACAGCTCCATCTTGCAGGCCCTGCAGAAAGATATCAAGACCCGCAGGGCCCTAGTCTCTTGTGACAAGAGCGTTCCACCAGATCGGGGCCACAGCTGAGAAAGCCCTGGCTCTGGTTGCAGCCAGCCTAACCTCCCTGTGGCCTGGGATCTGAAAGATGTTTTTATTTGAAGACCGTAAGGTCCTCTGTGGGACATACCAGGAGAGGCGGTCCTGTAGGTACGAGGGTCCTAGGCTGTATAGGGCTTTAAAGGTTAAAACCAGCACCTTAAACCTGATCCTGTACTGCACCAGGAGCCAGTGCAGCTGGTATAACAAGATCTCTGTTATGGCTTGCGTCTCTTATTCTGCAGAACTGTCCTGCATTTAAAGCTACATCCTTGCTTTATTTTGTCTTTCTTACTCTCCCTTGCTACCTGTCCTCAGGAAGAAACTGCTAGATTGGAGAATGAGATTAAAAAGCAGTTTGAACAACTGCACAAGTTCCTGCAGAATGAGGAGAAGACTATGCTGGAAGAGTTGCGGGAGGAGGCCCAGAAGAAGCAGGACCTGATTGAAGACAAAATCAGGAAGCTATCGGAAGAAAGCAATGTCTTGGTACAGGAAGTTGGTCAGCTACATGCTGACCTGAAGGAGGATGACGTTTCCTTCCTCAAGGTAAGGCTGGTGGGCATCTGGCTCCATATCCCAAATGAAATGGGAAGATTTCTTCCTTCTGTACCCCCCCACAACCCCCCCCTGCTCCTCTGAATGATGCCTCTGATTCTGAAGACTTGTCTTCTTGGTAGGATGGTGTACAGCCCTTCCCCAAACCCCCTTGAAACTTTTAATAGAGTTTCTCAGTAATGGTTTCTTCTCTGATTCTACCTTCTTCTTTTTCTTACAGAAACACAAAAACCGGAAACGCAGGTTTGTTGTCATTTATTAGATTTCTTACCTACTGTGAAGGAAATAAAAAGGTAAAGGGACCCCTGACCATTAGGTCCAGTCGTGACCGACTCTGGGGTTGCGGCGCTCATCTCGCTTTACTGGCCGAGGGAGCCGGCGTACAGCTTCCGGGTCATGTGGCCAGCATGACTAAGCCACTTCTGGCGAACCAGAGCAGCACATGGAAACGCTGTTTACCTTCCCGCCGGAGCGGTACCTATTTATCTACTTGCACTTTGACGTGCTTTCGAACTGCTAGGTTGGCAGGAGCAGGGACCGAGCAACGGGAGCTCACCCCGTCGCGGGGATTCGAACCGCCAACCTTCTGATAGGCAAGTCCTGGGCTCTGTGGGCTCACCTACAGTGCCACCTGAAGGAAATTGCCTGTTTTTAAAACTAAAAATCCTGTATGTGGTTGACTTGGGATTATGGCATTAATACGTTCCCTCATAGTTTTGCCTGTCAGGAGAAACAATTTGAAAGGTGTCACAAATTAATTAACGGAGGTTTGGATGTTTGTGGATTAAAATGCAGAACAGGAAGTAACTTCAAGGCTTTAATTAGCCCACAGCTTGCATTGACATTCAGATCAAGGTGGGTCTCAGAATACAAGGAACACACACAGCTGGCACTTTTTATGCCTTCCAGCCAATCTAACATATGTAGATAGAAGGGACAGCTCAGTGTGAGGGAAGGCAGGATGCAATTAGCCTGTTTTATTCTACTGTACGTAGTTGCTCAGTTTGGGTAATTGCTCTGTATGCATGTAATCAGTCATATGTTTAACTCCCCCCCCCATAACAACAACAATAACTCCATTGTTTTAAAACAACCCATTTCCGTGCATGAATGGGTTCCATCTTCCTTTTGTACTGAATGCAGAAGTTATTCTCAGAACACCACACACAATGGAAAAGTGTGTGTGTGTGTGTGTGTGTGTGTTTATTTGGACTATTTTATAATCTGCACCGTCAGCACAATCATGGTGGGTCCCCGGATGTTGTTGAACTACAACTCCCATCACCCCTAGCTAGCAAGGCCGGAGCTCAGGGATGATGGGAGTTGTAGTCCAACAACATCTGGGGACCCACAGGTTGAGAACCGCTGAAGGGCAGCTAACAGAAATGTAATAAAAACAATACACAAATTAAAATAGCAAAAACTTAGGAATATCCCCTCCCTCCAAGAATGGTTAAAAGTTTTTTAAAACCCAAAGATTGTAGATTCTGGGATCTTTAAAACCTGGGGAAAGAAATGCATAAATGATAGTAATGAGGGTGCCAGTGAAACCACCTTGGGAAGGACGTTCCCATAGGTAAGGAGTCAGCACGGAAAACGCTTTTTCTGCAGTCACCACCTGCTGCTTCTCAAGATAGCAGAGGCCCCCAGAGAAATCTCAGATTTCTGAGCATTGAAGCACCCCTGGAGAAGTGATAAGCGTATGTTTTTAAACATGCAACAAAGAAGGCTCAAATCTTTTTTTATAAAATTGATTTGAGATTCCCACAAATCCTGACTGGGGGAGAGTGTAAGTATGAGATAGGAAGATGGGTGATTTGCAGTCTTTTGAACATTTGCGTGATCCTAGACACTTGCATTCAGAAGGCTTGGGATTGGTCCGTCTGTAAGAATGCTTGGTTTTTCTAAAACTGGGTCCCCCTTGCTCACCTCTTTGTTTGTCTGAATTGTGTTTCCTAGAATTGCCTGGACAGTAGAACACCCAGAAGCAATTCCACCAGGGACTCTGATAGAAGTCACCAAGTATTTGGATTCTTTGCAGTATAATGTATGGAAGAAGATGCTGAATATCATCAAAGTTGGTAGGTTTCTTAGATGCCAGGAGAAAAGGAATCTGTGACACTTCAGCTAATGTTTTTCGACTACAGCTGATGGAAGCTGTAGGTCAGCAATACCTGGATGAATAAATGTCACTTCATCCTTTCCGTAGAACACATTGAGGTGGCTTATTGCAAGTAGCGGTGATAATTCCAAAATGCCCTTTCCCATAAAAAATAAGTTCCTCTCGTAATGAAAGGATGCATAGAATAAAACCCCTGACTGCCCTGAAATATAAACTCCAAATGGAGGAGAATCATCCTTATTTGGGTACAGTGGTACCTCGGGTTACAGACGCTTCATGTTACATCCGCTTCAGGTTACACACTCCGCTAACTCAGAAATAGTGCTTCAGGTTAAGAACTTTGCTTCAGGATAAGAACAGAAATCGGGCTCCGGCGGCGCGGCGGCAGCAGGAGGCCCCATTAGCTAAAGTGGTGCTTCAGGTTAAGAACAGTTTCAGGTTAAGAACGGACCTCTGGAACGAATTAAGTACTTAACCCGAGGTACCACTGTACAGTGAAAACTGATTGGGCGTGTATTAATAGGTGCTCAGTTTGCATGCTTTATTCTAAGCAAATCCTCAACTTCTGGCACAGAATGTTGTGACAGGATGTGGGTATGTTACTTTTTAGAGGTGCTCTGTAATATATATTTTACCCTTGAATTGGTTCCTAGGATAACAAGTGACAGAAGTACTCCTGAATTGTACCTGTTTCTATGGGTGAAGATTTTTCACACCTGAATGAATTATTATGTCACACTTAATAATAAATAATATTTTTTTTATTTGTACCCCGCCCTCCCTGACCGGAGCTGGGCTCAGAGCAGCTAACATCATATAAATAATACAGTATGCGTAAAAACAAGCAATCAATCGATTAAAATGCATCCCAAAATTAATTCAAATAAATTAAAATTAAAACTGAACAAATGACAATCCTCAGGTTAAAGTTGAAAGCGGTTAAATTCCAGCCAGCATATTGTGGCAAAAGTCACCGTTCCTTCAGTGCATAGTTATGGGTGAAATCTCTGATAACAGCGATTAATAGAGCTAGAGAATAGTCTCATTCTTGCTCTTTTATCCAGGAGAAGACAGTGGGCAACACTGAGGAGCGATTAATGACAGGTTGGGCACAAATTAAGCAATGTTTGTGTTTTGACTTTTTTTAAAAGCAGCTTTGTGGGGTGTGGAGCCAAGAAACAGTGAGGTGTCAAGGAATGTGGGCACATGCATAGGTTAAGAGCCACAGAGGCGTGATCTGCAGTGGGAAGTTGCATTTCCACTCCGAAATCTCCTCTACGGTGCTGAGTATTGTTTGGTAAGCAGCAGCTTATTGTAGCCATCAGAGGGCAGCAGTGCATGGGTAATCTACATCAGCCTGCACCAGCCTGGTGTCCTCCAGATGTTTTGTATAACCCCCATCAGTTCCAGCCAGCACAGCCATGCTAATGGAATTTGGAGCTCAAAACATCCAGTATTCGTCTTTTTCTTTAATTTTGAAGAAGGGTGCTGACATTTCACAACACTATTCATATAGTACAGTGGTACCTCGGGTTAAGTACTTAATTCGTTCCGGAGGTCCGTTCTTAACCTGAAACTGTTCTTAACTTGAAGCACCACTTTAGCTAATGGGGTCTCCTGCTGCCACCGCACGATTTCTGTTCTCATCCTGAAGCAAAGTTCTTAACCCGAGGTACTATTTCTGAGTTAGCGGAGTCTGTAACCTGAAGCGTATGTAACCTGAAGCGTATGTAACCTGAAGCGTATATAACCCGAGGTACCACTGTATGTGGGCAGAGGCTTGTAAGTGAATTGAAAACAATACATGTCCCAGGCCTCCATTCTATGTAGTAGGTTGACATACTCAAGAGCAGGTTTTCTCATGAGGAAATATCCATTCTTGTGTCCTCACTCTGCCTGCTGCCTTGTTTTGTTCTCTCCTGGCTTTTGTGTGCCAGGAGGTGTATAGGAGGGGACAAATTGGAATACAGTCATACCTCGGGTTGAAGTAGCTTCAAGTTAAGTATTTTTGGGTTGCGCCACTCGCGCCATGCGCAGACGCTCAAAATGACGTCACGCGCATGCGCGGAAGCGGCGAAATGCGACCTGCAGACGCGCAGTCATGTCTTACGTTTACTTCACGATGCGAACGGGGCTCCGGAACGGATCCCGTTTGTATTCAGAGGTACCACTGTAGTACAGTTGTGAGGTAGATGCTGACTTAATGGGATTTTTACCCACCCTTCATCCTAAGATTCCTGGGTGAGTTACAACAATATAATTATTCCTGCATTGCAGGAGGTTGGGCTAGATGACCCTTGGAGTCCCTTCAAACTCTACAAATCTTTTATTCTATTAATTATTAACCTGTTATCAACCTAAAAACTTACAGTTGCTGGAAGGCAGTTATAAATATGAATAAATATGTAACCTAGTAAATTGGAAATAAGGCATACAAATTACCGTATTTTTCCATGAATTAGACGCCCCCTATTTTGGGGGACTCCAAATTAAGAAAACACACCTCAGCACTGCCCATGTATAAGACGAGCCCCAATTTTAAACCTAATTTTTTGGTAAAAAACAACAACCTAGTCTTATACACGGAAAAAACCGGTACCTTACAGAGAGTGAATGTGTATTTATTAATTCACTATAATTAATTATGAGCATAGAGACTGAACATCTTTCCCTAAGGGAGCCAGAACACACATTGAGAATCAATAAACCAGAGGAAACTCCTGCTGGAGGCAGTGTCCAATGAACACATCCCATTGGCACAAAAATTTCAATTTGTTTAACAGGACTTCCCCAATTTCCTTCCATTGTAATGTGCTCCATGCCCACCCGAAATCTGCTCTGGAGGATTGGGGGAGCTGTAGAACACATTGGGAAGGGGACAAAGGAGAAGGGGGAAAGTCCCATTGCACAAGCAGAAATCCTTGCACTGATGGGACAGATTACTTAGCACTACTTTGGGTACAACCCATAGCTTTGCTAGATTAAAAAGTTCTCCAGTGAGAATGCCTAGCTGAAATTTGCAGGGGGAGAGACAGAGCAATACAGGGGTCAGCATTTTATTTTTGCTGCAACCCTTTTTGGGGTAGCAATCCTCTTCCCACCTGTATTAAGTTTTGTCCCTATACCTCCAAGGCAATAAATGCCAATATGCCCCTCCCCATTTCAACTGGTCATGTCTTATGAGTCGGTGAAAATGAAGGGAGGGGATTCAGTTCAGTCCTAATCAGTACCGGGCTCAACTTGTCTAGAATTTGGGTTTCTAACAAGTTGCCAGCCCACTGCCTATAGCCACGTTCAAGTACATTTGTTTCCAGCATCTGACGTTATGCCTTTGTAAACGGAAGTTCCAATTTGGCTTCCATCCTTGCTATTTTGCAGCAGGCAAGTCTGTTTCTGACTTGATTTGGTTTGTCTTTTAAATTCCCTCTTGTCATACTCCTCATACTTAACGATTGTCTCCTTTTGCAGTCCCGTTCAGCTTTGATCCCAATACAGCTGAGAGTTGGCTGGAAGTTTCTGATGATCTCACCAGCATTAACACCTGCAACTACAAGCTGGTGGTGGAAGTCCCTGAACGCTTCTCCATGGGCATGCCCTGTGTCCTGGGCTCCAAGAGCTACTCCAAAGGGTCTCACATTTGGGAGGTCGATATTGGCAGCATTGAGTACTGGTACATCGGGGTGGCCAGTAAGTCCTGTGGCCACTACTGGAGCTTTGGCTGCGATTCCCGATTGGGGCTTGGCTACATGTACCGCATGCAGGGTACTAAGAGCAAGAAAAGCCAGTCCTTCCAGGCCGTCCTGTCAGAGACTGGGCGCAGGAAGAACCTCAAGAGAGTGCGAGTGGAGCTGGACTGTGACGAAGGGGAGCTCTCGTTCTACGACACTGAGCAGAAGAGCCACATATACACGTTCCATGACAAGTTTGGAGAAGTCTTTCCGTACTTCTGCATCTGCAGCGTACACGCCGGGTCACCACCTGAGCCGTTCAAGATCTGCCCGCTTCAGATTCATATCAAGAAAGACTATCCAAACTGAGCTTGTGTTTGGTTTATCCCTCCCTGCGCACCCACACATCCTTGCAAAAGCTTGCCTATCCTACCTAACCAACACTGAGGCAGTAAAAAGAACTTAAGACTATTCTTCAATGTTTATGATATGCAGACATTCCCAGCAAGGCCAGGAGAAGTGGCTGTCTTAAGCTGCGGTTTTGGGGTTGCCATTCAGATTTAATCCACTCCGGAAGTTCTACACAATCCTTCTTGTGAACAGAAAAGGGCGCAAGAGCAGCTTGCTAAGGAGAAACCTCTTTATGTGCAGATAAATAGGGGAGGGGTACTTGAGCTGCCCAGTTAAAACGTGTGTTTGTGTAAGGGGCTGTGTTTTATTCACAGTGCAATCCACACCCCAACAAATTGGCATGAGCATGACAGCACATGTATGAGATGAATCTAGCATGCTGCTGCCTACGCTTTGAGGTAGTAGCTATGAGAAGGGAGGCGGCAGGCAGGCTGGCTGTCATTTTAATGGGGTGGATGGAGGAATACTGCAAAATGGCTTTCTTGCTGCCTAACCATCTGGCAGAAGCCTATCCCTGTTCCTCCTCTCTAGAGCAGCAGAGGCGGCTGTAATTAAGCCCTCATCATCAAACCATCTCCTACTCTGCACCAGGCACAGCGAAAGATTTATAGGGGCTTGGGAAAGGGCTTGAAATAGACAAGGCGGGCCCTGATTGGCTCTGATCTGTCAGCATGATGTCACCATCACCCAATCCAAAGATACCACCTCCCCACTGAGCATGTGTTGGAAGTCTAGCCAGGGAATTAACCCTTTTATGGCTCTCAGCTTTGGAGATTTCTGGTTACTTCATATTTCCTGGCATAGTTTAGAGGGTAAATCTGTAACTGTCCCTTATCTCCTGACTCCCAAAGCATTGCTGTATCTTTTTTTAAAAAGCTGCATGGCAGGCAGGTATTTCGTCATATGAAGTTTCCTACCCAACCCAATATGAGTGATGGCTCGTTTGGAGTAGGAAAAGCAGCCCCTCCCAAAAGCAAAACAAATTGTGACACTTTGTTTGCAGCACCAGAGCTTGAGGAAGATGATGTATAACTGATGGGGAACCTTTTTGACCCACCCACGCACCCCTGCCCTGCAGGTGGGTGGTGCTACTCATCTGTCAAAGTTGGCCTGCAGGGAAATAGTGACCAAGTGGGACTGAGCTCCTAGCCTGTCAGCTGGTGGACCAGGGAGTTCAATCCAGCTCTCCACATCTGATGCTGGATGTTGAGCATGTGGATGTGGTTTGGGGAAAACTGTGTTTCATTTGGGGAAGAATATCTGGCCAAATTTGACCCATGGGCCAGAGGTTCCCTGCTGTATACAATAGAGATGGTTTAAACAAATTCTGTACGCTTTGTAGTCTCCATGGAAATAGGTAGGCAGCTTTTTAATCAACATATTTTTTGCTGGGCTGCATGCTGTGAAAAGTGACAGGTTTTTGTCAAGCTGCTCTTAAAAGCCCAAGAACAGGGGAAATCGGTTTCTTTCTGATCTGCTGGCAGCTCCATTTGGAATTGTCCTGGTGGAAGTGTTTTACTCGTTTGCTGGGTCTGCTCACCATATCTGGAGCCGTAAAAGGAATGCCATTTCAGAATAGATGGGCTATGGCTGTGCCTCTCCCAGCTTTGTTTATATGGAGCTTTGCTCACTCGTGAGCCGGCTTAAGTTCTAAAAGCATTTCATCTGCTCTCTTGTGGCATGAATTGTTTAACGGGGAATTGATACTCCTGCCTCTCAGCATATTATCCAGAGCCTTGTACAAAAAAATGTTTATATTCAAAACAGCATGTTTTCCTAAACAATGGATTGACATTGTAATTAAAATAAACACTTGTGTAACCTGGTAAATTGTTCAAAAGAAAACATTGAAATTGATCAGTTCACATTGCAAATGCGTTCAGAACTTTTAACTGACAACCACTCAAGTGCCTTAAAACATACTGTAGAATGATACAGTGGTACCTCGGGTTACATACGCTTCAGGTTACATACCCTTCAGGTTACAGACTCCGCTAACCCAGAAATAGTACCTCGGGTTAAGAACTTTGCTTCAGGATGAGATCAGAAATTGTGCTCCTGCGGCGCGGCAGCAGTGGGAGGCTCCATTAGCTAAAATGGTGCTTCACGTTAAGAACAGTTTCAGGTTAAGAACGGACCTCCAGAACGAATTAAGTACTTAACCCGAGGTACCACTGTACTTGAATGGCAGGTTCGACTTACCGTGAAATGTCCTTAATATAATTAAAATAAACACTTGTGTAACCTGGTAAGTTGTTCAAAAGGAAACATTGAAATCAATCAGTTCACGTTGCAAATGCATTCAGAACTTTTAACTGACAACCACTCAAGTGCCTTAAGACATTCTGTAGAATGATACTTGAATGGCAGGTTGGACTTACCATAAAATGTCCTTCTGGTCAGCAGAGAGTGGAGCACACAGGAAAGTTAACTTCTGGAGATAGTCAGCACTGATTGAATGATCAGGTGGTGCTGGGCGGCCAGTAGGGGAAGTGGAACCTTACTGCAACTGCCAGTCCTTGAAAAGCGTTGAGGGTGAGGCTGGTCCAACACCTAGTAATAATAACATTGTGAACATAAGACTAACAGTGGGAGATAGTTGGAGCCTCTGAGAGTTCCTGTTCTAGGCTGATCAGAGGAACTAGCCCCATGAAGCCTAAGGTCCCATCTGGGTGGGGCTGATGCACTTTCCACTGACCAAAAGGACACTATAGGGACGCGGGTGGCGCTGTGGGATAAACCAGAGCCTAGGGCTTGCCGATCAGAAGGTCGGCGGTTCGAATCCCCGCGACGGGCTGAGCTCCCGTTGCTTGGTCCCAGCTCCTGCCCACCTAGCAGTTTGAAAGCACGTCAAAGTGCAAGTAGATAAATAGGTATCGCTCCAGCGGGAAGGTAAACGGCGGTCTGTGCGCTGCTCTGGTTCGCCAGAAGCGGCTTAGTCATGCTGGCCACATGACCGGAAGCTGTACGCCGGCTCCGTCGGCCAATAAAGCGAGATGAGCCCCGCAACGCCGTGATATTTTAGTGTATTTTTGGTTTCTATGGAAGCCGCCCAGAGTGGCTGGGGAAACCCAGTCAGATGGGCGGGGTACAAATAATATATTTTTTTTTAAAAAAACCCCAGTCGGTCACGACTGGACCTAATGGTCAGGGGTCCCTTTACCTTTACCTTCTATGATTCTATTTTGCTGCCAAGGAGTGTGGTGGAGTCTCCTTCTTTGGAGGTCTTTAAGCAGAGGCTTGACAACCATATGTCAGGAGTGCTCTGATGGTGTTTCCTGCTTGGCAGGGGGTTGGACTCGATGGCCCTTGTGGTCTCTTCCAACTCTATGATTCTATGATTCTTTTATTATATTACATTTTCCAATGTCAGCAGATAAAACTCCGAAAGGCCATCTGTAATTTCATTGGTAGTAACAACAAAGGACTTGAACCAATGGCTTCAAGTTACAAGAAAGGAGATTCCAACTAAATGTCAAGAAGAACTTTCTGCCAGTAAGTGCTGTTTTGACAGAGGACTCCCTTGGGAGGTTGTGGACTCTCTTCCTCCTTGGTTTTTAAGCAGAAGTTGGATGGCCAATAACCAGAGCGTAGTTGTTGGTTTTCGTTCTTGTAACCTTATGGAACAACTACCCTCTCTTCCAGTTTTGTATTCCTATGATATGATAATCTTTATTGTCATTGTCCCATACAGAACAACGAAATTGAAAAATTCAATTCAAAAACCAACAAGCCTGCTATCCCAGCTATCCCAATCCTTCCTGTCATTCCAGAATATTTTCTGTTTTATGGTTCTGCAGTCAATGTCACCCAAATCCTTGCTTTCAGTGTTTGGGAAATGCAGCAAAACAAAAATTCTAACAATTATGTAACTTTTGTAGTGTGTGTTTCCTTTCCTGAATCAGAGAATCCATTTCCTTCTCTGAAAAAGCGCCTTGCCATATCATTTACTGCAGTGCCGCACCCTGTGTCCCTTAGTGACACAATAACCCTGTCACATAAAATTCCAACAAAGGAAACTGAACCACGTGCTGTTGGCTAGCAGCTAGCCATAACTAAGACCGCAAAGGGGCAGTGGCCAGTCACTGCTGTACTGACAGAAGTATTAGCGCTCAAGCATGCACACACATCCTCCCACCTGAAGAGGATGACCAGCTGCAAAAGGGAGGCAGCAGGACTTGGCAACGGCAGTTTGTACTTTGAGGATGGAAAAAAGCTACACCTGCTGGAATTTCTTCTGCTACACATCCGTGAAGGAAATAGGACCTGAATTTTTTTGTACTTTGTCCAAAGCACGGACATTTCAGATGGATACTGATTGCCATCTCACTGAGGAGGAAAAGGCACTTCACCTGTTTAGAAACACAATTAATTAAAAAAAAAATAAAAGCTTCAGCTGCCTTGATTCTAAAATTCAAGTCCCTCCTCCAAAACCCATCCCTGTGAAGCCTTTAGGTTTTTTTTCTTTATCCTCAGCTGAACAATTCTGTATAGTATTTAAAACTGAGTGTATTCATACATCTTTTACATGTCTCACACAAATTTCAGATTGTCAGCTCCTTGGGGCAGGGGTCCTTGTTAGATCACTCCATAAAGTAGATCTATAATAACGATACTCTAAAGAAATCATGAATTTTTTTAGAACAAATCTAGTCCCTGACCTAGTTCTTGAGAATTACACCTAGTATTTATTTATGCCCTTTCCTTAGCTGGTTCCCTAAATGCTATTCCAACACTTACGATTACAATTACGATTTCTTTATTGTCACTGTCCCTTGCAGAACAATGAAATTGAAAAACTACATAAAATTACATGAAAACCACATAAAACATTCAAAAACCCCTAAAAACTCTAAAACCCCATTTTAAAATACACTATACTACAGAGAACCCTTATGCTGCGTTTAGAACCAGAATTGAATTTGCGTAGAAACTGTTTCTCAGGTGGCTAGTCCTAGTCTTTATAACCCTGTACCTTCTTCCAGAAGGCAGAAGCTGAAAGAGATAATTTCCGGGGTGCGTACTATCCTGCGCTATCTCTGCCGCTTTCTTATGGCACCTGGAAGCGTAGATTTGATCCAAGGTGGGAAGAGTGCACCCAATTATTCTCTCCGCAGTCTTTACAACCCTGGACAGCATTGTTTTTCCCCTGGCCGTGCAACTCCCAAACCACACACACAGACCATAAGTTAATACACTCTCCACAGTGCAGTGGTAAAATGGCATCAACAGGTCCTTTGAGAGATTGTTTTTCCGGAGGATTCTCAGAAAATATAACCTCTGCTGTGCTCTCTTCACCAGGTCTTTGCTGTCCTGTCCCTAGGTTAGGTCGTCTCTCAACTCCATTCCCAGAAATCGAAACACCGAGACCTGTTCCACTTGCCCATACTCGCCCTCTGTACTACCAAGGAATAGAGGCTGATCATTTGTTAGTGGTTCCAAGTCCCTAGGAGCACAACCAGTGCTAATGTTGCAATCATCAACGCCAACATTTATTTATTTGCCTGGGCATTTTAAAGTTTTAAGTTGATCTGGTTGGACACTGGGGAAAAAACCATAGAATCATAGAATCATAGAGTTGGAAGAGACCACAAGGGCCATCGAGTCCAACCCCCTGCCAAGCAGGAAACACCATCAGAGCACTCCTGACATATGGTTGTCAAGCCTCTGCTTAAAGACCTCCAAAGAAGGAGACTCCACCACACTCCTTGGCAGCAAATTCCACTGTCGAACAGCTCTTACTGTCAGGAAGTTCTTCCTAATGTTTAGGTGGAATCTTCTTTCTTGTAGTTTGGATCCATTGCTCCGTGTCCGCTTCTCTGGAGCAGCAGAAAACAACCTTTCTCCCTCCTCTATGTGACATCCTTTTCTATATTTGAACATGGCTATCATATCACCAACCATTAAGATTTCAGGGCCCAAACCTGAGACTTGGAGGTGGCCTCCAGTGATATCACTGGGAATGAGTGGGATCTGATGATGTCATTAAGCATGACATATTAAGCATTGGCCACAACTGATTAAAGCCAGGATGAGGGTCTTTTCGGTAGTGGCACCCACCCTGTGTAACGCCATCCCAGCAGATGTCAAAGAGACAAACAACTATGTGACTTTTAAAAACACATTTAAAGGCAGCCCTGCTTGGGGAAATTTTCAGTATGTGATGCTAGTGTTGTGTTTTAACTATTTTTTGTTGGGAGCCACCCAGAGTGGCCAGGGCAAGCCAGTCAGATGGGTAGCATATACATATTTTTGTATTATTATTAAAATAATAAACACAAAGTCTAACAAGCAAATATGTAACTGGCTGGAAATTAAGATAGAAAGTTTATCTGAAAGGAGTGTTCCTATGCTTGTTGTGAACAGCTGGTATTAATGATGCAATTACCTGTCAATACTGTATGTATTTAATTTCCTCCTGACCTTGCTATCTACACCCCTCAGTGCTTATGCTGAAGGAAGGTGAGGACAGGTGACCTCACCTAGGCTCGAAGTCACCCCCCACCAAAGCAGGCTCAAAGCTTCTCAAAATCATTTTCTCAGCAGCTAAGCATCAGAAACATCCCGCTCTGCTGTAACAAAGGTAGAGAACAGTCCATTGTTTCTCAGGCCTTTCTCATGCCTTCTGGCCTTGCTAACGAACCACATTGCAACTTGCTTTCTGTCCGGGAACCATGCCAGAACAAGAGATTGAAACATATCTGAACACTCTGAAACCCCTTTCCTGGGAAGGGTGCCAAGAGTCCCAATAGTCCCTTGAAGAAACCAGAGGCCTTTCTCTTGGGCATAGTCGGCCAATTGGTGCTAAAGAGGGACAGAACTTTCTTTATGTATGCCACAACAGCAGCAAGAATTCTTATTGCAAAGTATTGGAAGACACAAGACTTACCCACACTGGAGGAATGGCAGATGAAATTGATGGACTATATGGAATTGGCGGAAATGACTGGCAGAATCCGAGACCAGGGAGAAGAGTCGGTGGAAGAAGATTGGAAGAAATTTAAAGACTATCTACAGAAATATTGCAAAATTAATGAATGTTAGAATGATGTTGGATTGAAGTTAAGTGGTTTCTAGCTGTAATGGTATAAAAGAATATAGAAAAATTGGATTTTAAATACGTAAAAACCTAATGCTATAATATATTAAGATTAAAGATCAGGATTAAAAAGGAGGGAAAGGAATTGCTGAACTAATAAATTGAACTGGAATACAAAAAAGGGAGGTATGAGGAGGTCCGGGAAACAAGTAAATGAAAGAGAAGTGATGAAAAGATGGAATTGTTTTTAATTGTTCTTTTTTTGTATTTTGTATTTTTCCTTTTTCTATTTTTCTTTTTCTTATTTATGTATCTTTCTTTTGAAACTTTAATAAATATCATTAAAAAAAAAAAAAGTCTCCAATAGTCCCAAGACAGCTTTCTGTTCATGCTCAGAGGAACTCATGGGGCAGGACTCTGGAAAAGGGGAAGGAACTGGAAATGGGTATATATGCTTGTGCACATGACTGTGAACTTCGTGCATGCTTTTTGTGACTTATCACACTTGCTCCTTCTACCAGTTCATGGATGGTAGAAATAAAAGCCTTTTCTCCGAAACTATTCCTTGAGTGTCTGTTGACTCCCACTTCCCTTTCCCAGGCGCAATATTTTTCCCACCCGAGGGCAAAGCCTCATAAGGCTACAATGCCATTATACAATTTGTTGCTCTTTAAGGTTCTGCAAGACATTTCTTGCTTGTTACGTTCCTATTTCTTGTATATGTTCCTATTTCTCCCCCCCCCCCACTATCTTGCTTCCCCTCAGCAGCCATTCCTTTAGCCCCCTTGCCCCGATTTGAATGGGGGGGGCAGTTAGCGCCATGCTGTTTTCCTTGTGATTGTGTGTCCGCATGTTTTTAATAGATTATATGCACATATTTTCATAGAATTACAACTCTCTCTCTCTCTAGCTGAAATCCCAATAAAGTTTCAGTTCTATTCATGTTTACTTGTTTCTTAAAGGGTCCCTTCCCTCCCCCTTATGTTCTTTTAAATTTTACAATTTAATATTCAACACATTTATCATATGAAAGAAAATACAATAAAACAAACCCCCACCCCCACCCTGGTGACTTCCCTCCACTTCCCCTTCTGGTTCTTTAACTTATTTGCTACTTCTGCTTAATTTTGTCTTATTTTTCATCTTTCAGCTGAATGCTCTTATCATTTTTATACCAATGTAAGTTACATCTTACATTTCATTTATTTCCATATTGTTATTTCTTAACCTTTCCTTTTTTTCTTAATTTGGAAGTGCTTACTGTTTGTGTTCTGATCTCATTTGATATGTAAGCCGCCTTGAGCCTTTGTCAGGGAAAAAGGTGGGGCATATACATTTATACATATATATATCTTATCATTTTTATACCAAATTTTCTTCAAGTTACATCTTACATTTCATTTATTTCCATATTGTTCTTTCTTAACCTTTCCTTTTTTTTTCTTAATTTGGAAGTGTTTACTGTTTATGTTCTGATTTCATTTGATATGTAAGCCGCCTTGAGCTTTTGTCAGGGGAAAAAGGCGGGGTATTTAAATACCCCGCCTTTTTCCCCTGACAAAGGCTCAAGGCGGCTTACATATCTCATATATATATATCAGAATCAGAATATATACAGAATATATATATCTCTCCTCCTCCTCCTCCTCCCCAGCGCGGGCTCTTTTTCCCCTCAGCGAAAGCCGCCCAGAGGAAAAGGGCGGGAAAAGGAGAGACTGTTAGGCCGCGCTTGTTGTGAGGGGAAAAGAAAGGCAGGGGAGCAGGGCGCTTCAAGGGGGAGAAGCCAGCCCGCCACAATAGAAAGGGATAAATTGTAAATGCTGGATGGGTAGCAGCCACGTTGCCCGGCATAACAGGCTGCGGTCATCTGAGGGGGGCGGCGATGGCAGCCGCTCCTCCTGAGGGAGAAGGAGGCCATTGAGGAAAGGCGCCTATCAAGGCGCCTCCAGTTTCGAGAACATTCGCCTCGAAAAGGCACATTTCCCTGTCACTTGGGCGTTGATCTTGGTTGTTTTCTTATTTTATTTTTAAATGATATTTATTAAAATTTCAAAGAATACAAGAATTACACAAAAACAAACAGTAAAAATACAAGAAAATATAACAAAGAAATGAAAAATAAAAAGAAACATACAAAATAAGAACAGTTAAAAACACACACACACAAAAAAAGATCTTGGTTGTTTTCTTTAGGTACCAGGAGAAGGGAAATCTTTCCCTCTCTCCTCAAAGAAAAGACCAACCAGGGTACCTCAGGGGGGAAAGGGAAGGCTCTTTTTAAAGTTTTCCCCAAAACTGAAGTAAAATAAAGAGAACACCAGAACCCAAGGATCCAAAATCTGCTTTCACACCCTGTCATTCTTACATTACTTTTTCTAAAGACTTAAGAAACGTTGCCATTTTTAAAAAAAGCCTTAGTTTTCCTTAACTGTGTGGGAAATGGTTTGTGATATAAAAAAGTGGAGGGGGGTGGGGATTACTGAAACCCACTGGTGTTCACAAAAAAGTGCCGGCTTTATAGTCACCCAGTGCCCTTAGGGTGTTAAATGTTCGAAATACGTATAAAAATAAAAATAAATGTCCAGTAGCACCTTAGATACCGACTCAGTTTGTTCTGGGTATAAGCTTTCGTGTGCATGCACACTTCTTCAGGTGTTAAATGTTAGGCTGCAATCCTATACGCACAGACCTGGGAGTCTGCGCCATTTAATTCAATGGGTTTTTCTTCTGAACAGATAGGCACAGGATTGTTTGCTAAAGATGGGGTGAAGGTGTTTAGAAAGCCCAGTCTGCAGTGTTTTTTTTGTGTTTTTTTGTCTTTCAGTCTTAAAACAGTAATAGAAGAAATAAAGGGGAAATAAAGATTAATAGAAGAAAAAATCTCAGCGGAGGAACTCTGCCTCAGCTCTCCCATTTTGCAGTATGGATTGGTTTCATTGCAACCAGTGTTTCAGCCAGGAGGGGTCTGATTTTTCTGTCACCAGCTGTGGACACATATTTTGCAAAAAATGTGCTGGCTCAGGTAAGAGCACCAGCATGTCATGTCTACCTTGTCTGGGACGCATTCAGACATGCCATCATATCCTTTAAGTTTAAGCCGGTGTCACAGGACCCTTTGATTGACATTCAAACAATCACTGATTTCTGACCTTCTACAGATGTGCAATAAACCTTCATTTCAGTTTCCTGTGTATATAACTTTGTTGCTTATGTTCCTGTTTATGTACAGTATATAATTTCCCTGCTACATTCTACAGTCCTACGATAACATTAAGAAATGCCAGGAATCTTAACTCCATGGTGGATCAAAAGTAATTGAATGTTTAAATTTTCAATAAATTTGAGTTAATCTTAATGCTGCAATTTTTATATTAATCATTTCTGATCTGTTTTAATGAGTAGAACAATTTTAAGACAATCAAATGACTTTGAATCTAAGGACTTGTGATTTTAGAGGACTGATCTGTTTTGTTCTTTTGGAACACTTCTTATCTACAGTAATTTTTAGTATGTGCACTAACTTTTTGCATTTGAATCCTGACAGATAAATGCCCATCTTGTGGAACAAGCACAAAATATTTGCTTCTTAATGATAATGTAAGTTGTGGCTTCTACTTACCTTGAATCAGAAGATGGTGAGATGCCCTCCCTTAGATCCCAAAATATTTAATAATGTCAATGGTGAATATCCCCTTCTGTGTTTTTCCTTCTGACCCACAGATGCAGCCAGAAGCAAAAAAGTTTTTCAAAAGTCCCATTGAACTTGTACTCGGCCATATTGCCCATATTTCTCAGGTAAGAGTAAAGGCTTGTCCATACTTGTGCTTGTCCTGCCACTTTCCCCTGGGAAAACCCATTATTTACTGCTGAAGCAAAGCAAACATCATTTGGGTTTTCTGCAGATTAACATTTGCTCTGATTCAGCAGTAAAGAGCGGGGTTTTCCCAGGGAAAGTGGCAGGAAAAACAGAATACCTCTTGGACTTGTGCTTTCTAGGCACAGGACAGGTGAATTTTGGATGAGCCCTAACAAACCAGACATTGGTCCTGAAATTCATTCTTGATCCTGGATTCTAAAATGTGTGGCACTGACTGTCAAAACTAAAGACAATGCAAGGAAGGAAAGCTCAACAGCCTGGAGTCTGAAGTTAGCAATTAGTTCCTAATTCCTTATTCAAAAGTTCAAAATAGAGCTGCATGAGAAATCTGAATAACAAACTGAAATTTATATGCATCTGTAGCCCAAAATAAGCTTTGGACTATCCCACATCGTATGTCTCCATGACTGGGAAACTGTTTCCTTTGGCCTCCAATATAATTCTCTCCAATCAAAGGATTTTTGCACAATATGCTTTTTAACACATGGGGATCCCAGGTGACTTGAACTGGAGACATGCACACGAAGTAAACTTTGGGTCACCACAAATCATGCAGCCACATTTACAGGAGAGTCCTCTGTGAGATACTCTAGCACCGTGTCTGGCCCAACACTACATGTTGGCTTAAGATACTGTCAAGTGTTCTGCTCCAATATGTATATATCTGTAAACAAATAAGGAGGTGAGGGCAGTTTGTACCTCAATCTAAGCTTGAGGCCACCAGGAAAGTCCTCCGTGAGACATAGCCCACAATACATTTAGGGCTATCACAAATTATAAATTGACACAATGGGGAAACTGCCTTTCAGATGCCCTAGAGTCCTGAACAGAACTTTCATTTGGCACACTGTCAGCTGGCCTTCAAACATGCCAATACTACTCAAGGAGTAATTCAAAGCAAGGAGTTGGATCAGCAAAGCCAGGAGGTTCAAGGGATTGGCACTGGGCCTCCTGCTTGATGGGTAGGTCTTGACAGGTGTTTGACATTTCTGGCACCTTATGCCAACTCTGGGAACAGCTGCTGCATGCACAGAGTCAAAGTCACTTGCTGAATGTAATGTGTATCTCAAATAATGGAATTTGGTGATTACTTTTCAGCTATGGCTGGTGTTCTAGTTGCCTGCAAAGAAAGCATTATGTGAATGGTGGAGCTGCTTGAAGTGCTTTCATCACCGTCTGTGCAAATGAATGGTTTTCTTTCCAGCTACAGTTTCTGAAAATTAATTTGGCAAGTTTGCATCAGGAGCTAGTTTTGGACAGCACTGATTGCCTATCATTTGATGAACTTCCCCCACTACCCTGGAGCAGTTCACAACTTAAAATAAAAGATTGTACTCCTTTTGAAAATGCAAGAAATGGAAGTTTAATTGAAAAGGCAGAGTTACTTTTAACCATAATGCATCGGTGGGGAAAAGCCAAGCTTCCTCCCATCCCTGAGAAAAAAATCTACTGCAACTCCTGTTTTAATGTTTCGTTTCTTTGAATGAAATGAGTGGCCATACCCTCTAGAATGGCAAGGGCCTGAATGACATTCTTAATTTCCCTAAAGGAGCTATAATTCCCCAATCTGCTGAGAATCAATAGTTGTGAGTTCCCATAATTCATCCCTCCCATGGTTCTCTTCTTAGGTGTGGACTTTCCAGAAAAGCCAGATGGAGCTGCTTGCCTCTTTTTATAAATACCGTGCTTCAAAGGCTGAAGGAGCTCTGCAGCAAGTTTACCAGGAACTAACTACACAGGAAAAGTGAGACAAGCAGGTTGCAAAAAGAAAAGAAAAAAGGGGTCTGGGCGAACAGCAGGGATTATTCAAGACGGCATGGCCTGCATCCGCACATTTTACATACAATAATCTTTCCCCTTTCCTTCCTTTCTGAAAGAGGAGTCATGTCCGTAAATCCATAGAAAATATCCCATTTTTTATTTATTTTTTACTATTTTGTGAAAGAAAGCAGTTCGTTTCTGTTTTGGTGGACAAGGGCACTTGGTCAGGAGTGCAGCAAGCCCTCATGATAATGTGAACATTTAACACGAGTCAATAGACTGAGAATAGGAGTGTTTACTTCTGCTCCCTCCTAATTTAAAATTTATCAGTCTTTTTTTAAACAAAAGTTAGGGCAGAACTTATGGGATCCTAGAGCCATCCCACCAACCCCTCTCTGTTAGTAAACCACTTTGAGGGTTTTAGTTTTTGCAATTATGCAGTGTACAATTTTTATGAAATAAAATAACAATAAATCAGTACAAAAGTATTCTGCAATAATGATTAAAGGGCCACGTTTGGGAATGAGAGGAAGGGAGGTGTGGAATATTGCTAGGTGCTTTGCCAAGACATCTATCTTGTGCATCAAATGCTTAGGGAGCTGGAGGCATTACAGAAGGAGAACAGGGAACTGATGAAGAATCTCTGCTCATTGGAGGTAGGAGCTGTTTGTCTGGAACAAACCCAACTCTGTGTTTTGCTTCCTGACCCCCTCTGCTGGGACAGAGGGAAACATTTTCACCATGGGCAAATTCTCCACTCTTTTCCTACAGGATTCCCCACATCAGCTCCAGGATAGCAGGTGAGTGTTTCTGTTCTGATCTGCTAGGACAATTGCCAAGAATTGCAGTGCATGGAATGGAGCAGGGATGGAGAATCCCAGGTCTAGCAGCTGAATGCAGCCATTCGGGCTTCTCTTTCTGGCACTTGGGGACTTTTCCAAGGCCAAAAACCTCATCCCCACTCTTCTTCTTCTTTGGTGATCACTCGTGCTGAGTAAGTTTGTCTTCCATAAACACGGTTTTAACAATGAGTCCATAAGTGACTGTGGAGGCAAATTCTGGATCCACATGTCCTTCCACAGTGGGGACATTGGTTTCTGGGCAGGAGTTGATCACAGTGAGGGTTTGCCAAGCGTTCCTTCCTCTTAGCATGTTTCCTCCTTGCGTCCTGAGTTCGAGTGTCTTCAAAGCCCATGACACCTTTGGTGAAGGCTGTTCCCCAATTGGAGCGCTTGCAGGCCAGTGTTTCCCAATTGTTGGTGTTTATACTACATTTTTAAAAGATTTGCCTCTTTTGTTAACCCACCAGCATTACGCTTTCCATTCTTAAGTTCGGAATAGAGTTGTTGCTTTGGAAGACGATCATCAGGCATCCGCACAACATGACCAGTCCAACGAAGCTGATGTTGAAGAATCATTGCTTCAATATACCCCTCAATGTGTCACCAAACTGTAATAATGCCTCTAGCTTGCCTGGCTGGGGGCTAGAAATGTGGGTGGGATTTGGGTGTACGTAGAGATTCCTGACTTTTACTCTGCATCCGTTGCCCCAGCCACTTCTGCGCATGGCCCTGCCTGTTTCTCAGGCTGAAAAGGGCTTCTCACCCTTGCCTTAGAGGCTCTTCATATCAGAGGTGTGCTTGGGTTTGAGGCCCACGCTGAACATCCTGTTGGAAGCTGCCCAGAGTGGCTGGGAAAGCCCAGCCAGATGGGCGGGGTACAAATAATAAATTATTATTATTATAATTATTATTAGCAAAACAGGCAAGGTAATATGGTTTCCACCTTGACTGAACAAAATTCCTTTTAAATTGTTATAGAAACAGCACACCGCGGCCAGTTGCCATCAAACCCCCCTTACAGCCAGGTAGGACATTTTCAATTGAGGCTTTGGGACAAATGTGCATTTGGTAGCATAAATTATTGTGGATGTGCATGTGAGTGTATAACCTTTGCCTATGTGGGCCTATGAGGAGGCAGAAGAGAACTTGCAAATAGTAAAGGTGAACAAATAATTAGACAAAACAATACAACTGCTAAGTTTTATATCAAGCAGGCACCTTCACTGTATTCTTTTTAGAGCCTGCCAAAAATGTTCTTGTTTAGGCAAGCCTACCCAGACGCGGGGGCGCTAGGACTTGTCGATCAGAAGGTTGGTGGTTCGAATCCCCGTGACGGGGTGAGCTCCGTTGCTTGGTCCCTGCTCCTGCCAACCTAGCAGTTTGAAAGCACGTCCAAGTGCAAGTACGGTAGATAAATAGGTACTGCTCTGGCGGGAAGCTAAACGTCGTTTCCGTGCGCTACTCTGGTCTTGCTGGCCACATGACCCGGAAGCTGTACGCCGGCTCCCTCAGCCAATAAAGCGAGATGAGCGCCGCAACCCCAGAGTCGGCCGCAACTGGACCTAATGGTCAGGGGTCCCTTTACCTTTTACCCAGATGCTTAGAAATGCTGATGTGAATTTTAATCTGCTTTAGTATTTAAACTTCTAGCATGTTTCAATGTATTGTAATTTTTTCCTGATTTTATTATTTTATCTTTTCGTAAACCACTTTGAGGTCAATAAATTTTATGAAATAAATGGAAAAACAAATAAAAACATGAATTATGCAATGGTCCAAAGAGTCCAAATAGAAAATTAAGACAATTATTGCCGGCAAACTTTGAAGTCAGCCAATCTGCATATTCCTCTAGTCCACAAAGATGCTGGACAATTCAGAGTTGATTCTTCAAACAGCTTTAGTCCCCAAGTAGACTTGAAATTTTTTAGCTTGAAGGAGGTAGATACAAGGTGATAAGAGCTTAGAATTGTTATTCAGCTCCCCAACAGACCAAGTTTTCCCTCCTATTTCTTTGCTGAGTGACTCTGCCCTCCAGGGCTAAATCAAGCCCATCATGGGGGTTACAAGAGCATATGTTACAGCTTTGCACATGTATGAATGAAAGTAGCCTTGACTGAGGAAGAGAAAGCAAATGTGCTTCCATGATACCGCATACTGTGCTAACATATATGGAGGTATGAAAATCAGATTAAGAGCATGCGTGCCTTTTTTTGTTCTTCAGCATTTAATACCTTTTAGTGAAGTCACTTTCCTTCAGAGACTGCTGTTCCTCCTGCCCTGGGATTCTTATCTAGGATTCTTTAAACAGAGTTGTCAGGAACTGAACTGGGATCTTCTATATGCAAAGCGGTCATTGATACCACTAGGTTTAGCTTCATGCTTCCTCTTCACAATAATCCACTATCTCATACTTTGCAGTTACCCTACCGTTTAATTTCCAGAAGTCCAGTGAAGTGATCAGGTAGGCACATAAGAAATTTAATATTCTTTGGGTGTGATAAGTAGCAGGGAATATGTAAGCTTGCTCAAAATTCCAGAAAAACGTAAGGGGGAAAACAAAGTTCTCTAATCCTCATGGCTGTAGAAAAAGAAAAAAATTGAAATACGTATTCAAGAAGTGAATTGTTTCAGTCAATGCAAGGAGGATTTGCTTTACATAGGTTCCTTTTGCTGCTTGCATCATGCCTCAGGACACTTGCTGCTGTTTCTTTTTTCAAGTTCCAAAACTGTGAAGTTTGATCCAGATTCAGAGTTTTTCAACTGTTCCCTTGCCTTGTTTTCCCCAAACTGGACTTGGCAACTATAGAAATCAAGTTTCTGTAGTGTATGATTTTTCCTTAATACGCATACATTGGTTTAGTACAGTCACAAAATCTGGATGTCTATCCAGCCTTCTATTCCCACTAAGGACCGCTTAACTTTTTGTACCTCTGCGCCTTATAGCCGCTCCTCTTCCATGGATTCCATCTCCTCAAGAGCCAGCCACCCACCAAACTGGCAAGTGAGTCTCCACACTGCTATCTTCCTGTTCCCAGGTATGGAAAAGAGAGGATGGGTATCTTATTTTTGCCTTCCAGACTCACGATGGGGATGTCTCATTTTTTTCCCCTCAGCTTGCTACAGGAACCACCTGGATGACTTACGGCAGGATGACCCCAGATAACCCTAATAATGGTAAGAAATATGGGAGGGAAAAGGTAGAATGGTTTTAATACTGCAATGGGTATGGAAGACAAGATGATAACAGAGGGTTAGGATGAACAGAATGGATCTCTCTTCTTCTCCAAGGATTTCAAGTATAGCTGTAGCCTCTCCTGCGGCGAGACACTACTTTTGCAGCCAAGCTGAAAAATGTGGTGGTGGGGATTTATTACACCAATCTGATTACATCTCTCTACCCCACATTAGTCACTTTAAATTAGTCACCCAAGATGAGCCCTCACACTCTAAAGTTAAACCTTGTTCTTCTCATATCACTTTTTCATAGATTCTCTGTCGTTTCATACTATGTATAATACCTTAAATTCTATTTTCCAGCTACTCCTTCTCCAGCATCCACTAGAGGCTTATTCCACAGGTGAGTCTGAGAGTAGGGTGTGCGCTTGTCCCCTCCAAGATGCTACTACTGCATCATCATATAGCAGCTGTTTAGGTGTCTTATTACTGTAATTTTCACTTCTCACTGTCATATAAACAAAATAAGGCACGGTCAGAGGCAGCAATGCTACTGAATACCACTTGCTGCAAAGCACAGGAAGGGAAGAGTTGCTCTTGTGCTCATGCCCTATCTCCCGCAGGCATCTAGTTGACCACCATGAAGACAAGATGCTGGACTATATGGGCCCTTGTCCTGATCTAGCAGGCTGTTCTTATGCTCTTAGGACAGGCCTAGCTCCTCAGGATGCAGTCCAAGAGGCTGAGGTCAAACAGTTCATCCTGTCCCAGGTTACAACTATATCAGTGTTCAAGTCGTTATTGCTTTTGACTCTCAGATCAGGTGGAGGAGGACCATATGCCAGAACATCACAGCATTGAGAAGCTGCACCACGTACAGGTGAGAGGGAATGCACCTCCAGGTTGTCATTATTTTGCAGGAAAGTTTCACATGCATGCCAGAACTTTAGGTTTGTGCAGTTAAAGTGAACTAAACTGCTTTGTTGCCCTAGCACAATAATGTTGCTTTGTCAGTCACTTTGAGTCACTTTTGTGATAACAGAGACAAAATCATCACCCTCTATTTTTAATCTTCAGTCTTGTAAAAAGTTTTTGGCCTGCAAGACAATAATTTTTCAAGTTGAGATTAATTTTGGGCACAATTTGCCCCCCCCCCCAGCTTGAATAAAGCAACCAGCAATCAATCTCACATCTCAAACCTCCACACAGAGCCATCCGGGTTTATTCATTGTACAGAGATAGTTTTCACCCTAAATCAAGATTGCCAAGAGCACATATGAAGCTAATGTTCATTATTTGTCACTAAAAGTTTTCTTGTCAATAACTGTTTAGTAAGTAGGGTTAGTAATTGAAGTGTGCATCCTTGCAACTAGCTTACTGTATTTTTCCCTCCAGGACCACATGTGCCAGCAGAGCTCACCAACAATAATGGGGAGGACTGAAGTAACTGCTTTTAATAGCAGCGCCATGGAAAATGTGTCACCACCATCACCTCATAGCTCACTCAGGAACAACCTGTTAAGAAGGACATGAGATGCTTAATCTGCACAGTAATAAATATCACACAAACTCAATTGTTACATCATCAGCATCTTTTTATATGTATACCACTTTTCCACAAAATTGTGCCCAAAGTGGCTCACAACATATAAAGTGAACAGTTAAGAATAACTGAAGCAGAGCCAAAGAGGAGTTTGAAATTGACAAATTATATTGATCTGACTAGACAGAATTTGCTCTGCTATCCATGGATGGTTTGCAGCATTGATCTAATTTATGCCCAGTTCTTATGGCAAGCTACAGTCAAAGTCAGACGGTACAATGTGAACTCGTGCTGTTTATCCCAGAAATGGCTATTCAGGGGTATGCTGCTGCTGTATATGGAAGTTCCTGTGGGAATGTTCAGGGAGGCAGGAGAGGATATATTGTTTAATAATATCCTTCCTAACTTGTGCTAGCAAGTTCTATAACTTAGCAGAGTTTTAAACATTCCCCTTTTAAATTGCAGAGCGGTTAGCTTGCTGCAGGCTAGTTTTAGCCTCTTAAATATAAGATTCCTGGTAATCCCTTATATCCCTCTTTAAAAGAATAGACACAACACAGTCTTGATTAAAAAGTATAAAAGTAGTTTACTCACAATCATTCAGTTCACAGCTGGATCCCTGAAGGCAGACTTAGGTTACAAAAATATATACACTGGGGGTTAGTCCCAGTGACTGCAGACTGTCAGTCACTGCTACTCACACGTTGAAAGCAAGATGGAGAAGAGGAAGTGTGCTGCTTGCCTTTTGTTACCTGGGCAGGTAAGGTCATGCTCACCTCTAGTTACATGCAGAGGAAGTTTGTCCCAGCTCAGGAGGAAACAGGAAGTTTTCTACCGGCTGGACAAACATCCCTCTTCATGTCCGCTCTAGGAATGTTGTACTTGACAGCTATGTGTTTCACATCCCACAGTTCCATCTGCTGTGTGCTGCTCAGTTGAAAGGCTATGGAGGCTGACCCATTTCAACATATGATAACATTTTCATGTGGCACTTCAGTCATGACTCAAGCATGCAAACAAAGGAATGCAGGGGCATGTTTAGGAGTGTGCATGAACATGCCTGCTTCTCATATACAGTGGTACCTTGGTTTGCAACCGCTTTGGATTACAACCGTTGTGGATTACAACCACGTCAAACCCGGAAGTGCGTGTCCCTTTTTTTGGATTGCAACCCATTTTTTTGGATTACAACCAATTTTTGTGGGGAGGCCCCATTGGCGAAAGCGCCCCTTGGGTTACAACCTGTTTTGGTTGACAACTGGACCTCTGGAACCGATTATGGTTGTAAACCAAGGTACCACTGTATAAGAAATATTGTACATGCATCTGGAAATTGGTGTGCTAGGTGACAGAAACAGTTGGCTGTTCAAAGAACGTAAGACAACCCTTGTTGGATCAGGCCAAAGGCTAGCTACTCCAGCACTCTGTTCTTACAGGGAAGCTCACAAGCAGGACCTGAGCACAATGCAATTCTCAGAAACTGGTGTTCAGAAAAATTACGAGCTCTGACTGGAGATGAAACCTAGCCATCCTGCCTAGTAACCCTTGGTAACTGTTATCTTCCCTGTATTTGTCCAATCCTTTTTAAAAGCCACCCAAGCTGGTGGCCATTGTCACTATTTCAGCTGCCTTGTCAAAGGCACAATTGTGCAAACCTCTCTGGAGAAAACCAGTAGCTGGGTCAGCCAGATCACACCACCAGCCTGAGCGGAGCTGTCGAGTTTAACAAATCCATTGTCTTCCTGTGTTGCCCCTTTGTTCTTTTTCCTGCTTGACTTCTTTGTTAGTTCAGGTATGGTGATGGTCAGGATGCATTTAACAACAAAAATAAAAACCACCAAATTTCTAAGAGTCTTTCAGGAGATTGGAACTGAAAACCTCACTCCTTTGCCACCTCCTCCTCCTCAAGTCACTTGTTTTTTTGTTTTCTGTTTTGTTTCATTTCTCTTTCAGTTAGGGTTGCCATTTTTTTAAAAAAATCTTCTTGTGCCCTTAAACAACAAGGAAGTGATAGTGCCATCTCTGTGCCAGGAGAATCTCTTCCTACTGATTTCAGCTGCTGTTAAATGCACAGTCACAACCCAGACCCCCATCACTTGGCAACTCTACTTCCAATCAAATTGCCTATGAGGTGGAGCTGATTTCCTCTCCTGGAAAGCCTTCACTTTGAAATGCCACAGTAGGGTGCTTACTCACAAGTAGATATGCTTGTATGTTGCATAGGAGGAAGGGCTATAGCACAGTCCTAGAGCTTTAAACGCAAAAGTTCCCAATTTCAGTCTCCAGCATCTGCAGGTAGGGGTGGTAATGTCACCTGCCTGAAGCTCTGGAGCATGGCTACCAGTCGGTGTTTACAATACTGAGCTAGATCGGCCAATGATCTGACTCAGAAGGCAGCTTCCTATCTACAGCAGCAGTATTAATATGCTTGCTTTCATTCTTTACATTCTGTTTGTTACCCACCCTTCAATCCCAGCGAGGATTGCATCTAAAAAAGATAATTCAACCCAATAAGATCAATAAAGCAACCTCATTCCAAAATACCACACCATGCAATACACACCTACCTACATGTGAAAGTGTGAGTTGACATGTTTAAAGGCTGAGATTGGGGCCCCCTCTGACCTGAGGACTTCTAGTACAATCTCTTGGCTTCTACAGCCATAGGAAAGCTCCTAGGAATACATTATTATATACAAAAAGTGCACTAAGGACAGTTCTTCCCCTGCTCATCAACTTAGCAGCTTCACCCTGATTGAAGAAATAAAATCCAGCCAAAGCAATTTTTTTAAACCCCTAACACCACTTCCAAAAGATGTTCAGTCTTAGCTTGTTCCTGGGCAAAGATGTGGCAACAATCATTTACTGCTTCTCTGTACTGAGTTGGATAACAATTGCTGGTTTGCTATAGAAGGGTTTATCGTGTCTTCGCAGCATCCATGGAGATGACATATATTGTCCCTGGAGCACCTTTTCCTTCCTAAGCAAGCACGCTGCCTGTCTTGTCCTTCTGCATCTTGGAAATAGCTTTTTTTGTGTGTGACATCATCCCGGCACACCTGGCTCACCCGAGGAGTTACTCAGGCGATTCTGTATTCCCAGGAAGATGCTGCCCAATCAGCAGGCCTCGTGAGCGCAGCCAATCGGCTGGCTCGGAGGTGATGTCATGGTGAGAGCTTGGCAGCCTGGCGGATGCTAAGTGGATCTTTTAGCATCTTTTCCTGGAAGGAAGCAAGTGAGAGGCTGGGAGCGGCTGGACCAGGTGTCGATCTGGCAAGGGGGTGAGTAGCTTCAGGCTCAGGAGAGGGTACCCCACAAGCAGCTGCAAAGGCGAGTAAAGGCCAGGGAAGTGGGGAGCGAACCAAGGAACTAAATACTATTTCCCCCTAGCATTGAAGTTATTTCCTGGGGAAGGTGGGCAAATGCTGAACCCTCAAAAGCAGAGGCTAGAGTTGGAGGAGGGGTAGGCATGGGAAAGGCTGTGATGGGGCAGGACTCCAGCACACCTTATGCCTGCTGGCTTTGGGAAGTCAGCGTAAAATTTTCTGCACCCTCCTGTCTGTCTATCATCTTATCTATCTATCTATCTATCTATCTATCATCTATCTATCTATCTACCGGTATATCTATCATATCTATCATATATCTATCTATCTATCTATCTATCTATCTATCTATCATCTATCAATCATCTATCTGTCTATCTATCTATCTATCCTTTCTGCAGATATATTTATGGGGGGGGAGTAATATAAATTTCTATAGTAAACCTTGTGGTTATTTCTATTTAAATGGCTCTGTATTCCTTTTTCTTGCCATGCTATGCTCGCCTTTTATCAACCACATTATTATTCATCCATCTCTTAATCTACCACATTTTCTTTTTGTGACCATGTGCTGGCATTGGGCATCCAACTGCCCCCCCCCGTGCTTTGCCCCTCCTTCCCTTCCTACATCTCACCACTTAGGGGTTTGTGTGTATGTGGGTGTGAGTGCCTATAATACCCATATAAGAAGAAATTGCTGCTTTCCATTTGTTGCAATCACTGTAACATAACCTGTCTGTGGTCCCAACAAGACGGTTTTGTTTCTCCCAATGCAATATGAAAGACTGTCATTAACAAAACGGATTGGGCGCCTCGTGGCTTCAGGGACATCCACAGAGATGCCAGTGTAGCTTTAAGAAAAGAAAGTCAAAAAGTCAGGTCAGTTTTCATTGGAAGTCAGCCCTTTTTTTGGCGGGGGGGGGGCATTTATATCTCTCTCTTTTCCTAACTGCTCTTCCTTCTCCTTCTACTTCCACACTTGCAATTAACAC